AATTTATCGTGACTACTCGAAGCTCCCTCGTCTGTCAGCCTCGTCGATCCTACGACGGACATACTTGCAAAGATCACAGCAAAGACCAGCCCAGCTCAGACCCAGCACAGCTTCAAATGACACTTCCCGCCTGTGAGGGTCGGTCGATTCGAGAGCTCAGGTCGATGATGATGGCGCCTGGCCCATCTTGCTCCACGTACCTCGGCCTGACTCGTCTCACTGCAGCCCCGGCCGACCGAATTTTAGGTTTTGGTGTTTGACGCCAAAGGGGAGAGGGTTTTGAGTATGTAGACTCGGGGAGCTAGTTATCTAGTATTAGCTTTTTATATACATTTGGAGTTTTATTTGTGTGATACACTATTACTTATGCATTCGTGTGTTTACTTTCATGCATGCATACTATTATATATATGTGATAGTGCTATCTACGTGATCGTGATATTTGACATGTGTGACTTCTACTTTGCATTTTCTATATGTCATATCACTTGTGTTATGCTCATTTGCTTTTGCTTCCGCGTTTTATACTTCAAGCAAATGAGCTTTGTTAATTGTACTCATGCTTAAGTCATATCCTTTGAGTACATTGTGTTGGCTTGGGTCATATAAGCTTGACTAACTCTTTTGTTCTTATTGACAAAAGCTTATATGAACCAAGCCCGTCAAAAAAAAAAAAAAAAAAAACCTCACTCCATAACATACTGAGGTGGTATTGTCATCAATCACCAAAAGGGGGAGATTGAAAGCATCTAGGCCCCTAGTTGGATTTCGGTGATTAATGTCAATACAAGATTACTATGACTAACGTGTGTTTTGCGAGGCAACTAAGTTAGGTCATGGTAATGGAGATCGATTGGGCAATCGAGGTTGTCATGCCCCACGATGGAAATCGCTTTGGGTTTTCAAAGGATGGACGACAAGGTTAAGGATATCTAGTTCTAAGTGTCGATTGGAGTTGGAGAGACATTTAGAGTAGTTTAGGACTTTGTTTTTTCCTTTGGCCGCATTACTATAAAGGGGTATGAACGGGTAGCTTGACCTAGTTGAGTCTAGTGAGTTAGGTGTGGTGCACACTTGTTAAAACTAGCTCTAGGTAGCTCCTATGAATGCCTAAGATCCTTTGGAGCAAACTTCATTCACATATGTTCGAAAGTTAGAAGTGAATGGAGGGTCAAACACCGACCGGACGCCGGTTTCGGTGCGGCCGACGGACCGGGCCGCAGGGTCCGGCCATTGCTTTGACCGAGGTGGTTAAGTCTGTTGTGGACCGGACGCTGGAAGGTCGTGTGACCGACGCCGAGGGCTAGCGTCCGGTCGACTCCAAAGAAGGGTCCGAGACTTGAAAAAGAGTGACCGGACGCTGTCCGGTCAATATGACCGGACCACGAGTATCCAAATATCCGGTCGTTTACTGATAAGCATCCAAGAGCGACCGACGGCGTCGTCGGTCAATCGACCGGACCTCGCCGTCCGGCCATCACTTGAATGCTGGTTCGCTGGGTTGAACTGACCGAAAGGTCCGGGTCATCACGATCGGAGCGTCCGGTCGTCCCGCAGGCTTCTCATAACGGTTAGTTTTTCAGTCGCTTTATAAATAGAAGCTCCACTCGTGAGTGGAGGAACTTTTGCTCATTCCAACAAATTGAGAAACACGCTTGTGAGTGCCAAGAAGAGCAAGGTCCTAGAGAGGTGTTTGTGATTTGAGAATCCAAGAGAGTAGCCTCACTAGCAAATCAAGAGTAGCAAAGTGTGCATCCATCTTCTCATTAGGCTTCATGGGTCAAGTGAGAGTTCGTGCTTGTTACTCTTGGTGATCGCCATCACCTAGACGGCTTGGTGGTGATTGGGTGTTTGGTGTTCACCCCATGAGCTTGTGGGTGACCCAACTCAAGTTGTGAGCGGCTTTGGGTGATTCGCACCGCGACGGAGTGTCAAGAATCAACCCATAGAGAGCACTTGATCCTTGCGCGGATCAAGGGGGAGCTACATCCTTGCGCGGGTGCTCCAACGAGGACTAGTGGAGAGTGGCGACTCTTCGATACCTCGGCAAAACATCGCCGCGTTCCTTTCTCTCCCTATTTACTTTGAGCAATTCAATACTTGTTTTACATCCATAGAATTGCTTGCTTGAGTAAGGTTGGAACATAGGTGGTGAGTTCGTTGTGCTTTAGTTTGATAGAAACACTTTTCTAGGCACAAGGGGTTAATTGGGCTATCCGTAGGATTTGTTTATTGCAAGAGAATTTCGAATTAGCCCAATTCACCCCCCCTCTTGGGCATCTTGATCCTTTCAAGGTTGAACTATTATTGGCGTACGAAACTTGCAGGCTAAGTTGGTTATGTTATGTCGAACTTATGTCAAACCAATGGAAATGTTATGTGGCAGCTTGTCAACTTGCGCACGGACTTCATTTATTTGCTTCATATTCGTTTCAATGCGTCGCGGCATCACTGCATGCGAGATTAAGTAGCAACTAGTTCAGAAACCAGCAGTCTCGGGGTATCTCGACGCCGGTGGCCGGCGTCTTGCATGAGGGGTCGAGGAAGCCGGGGTCCATGGTCGCGTCGCCGCCGATCCTACAATATGGGGCCAAAAAGCCCAAGCAATAAGTTCCCTTAAAAATATTCGTTTCAATCTGATCCAATTTTTCGTAATCGATTAGTTAACATGATGGTTAACCGTATTATGAAAGACGGAAAAAATATCATTGGCTTATCAAATTCTCTATTCGACCGTGAAACTAATTCAACAAAAGACGGAAACAAATCCATTATTGATTTTACGTCAAGCAATACTTAGAATAACTCCCACTATCGGCGCGACGCGTTCCGATTAAACCGTCCAGGTACCGCCGGGCGGGCGGCGGGCGCGGCGGCCAGGCGGGCTTGCTGCTCAGGCAAGCGGGACTGGCCGCGGGGTTTTATTCGGCTCTGCCGTGCCACGGATCAAGGCGCGTCACTGCCGCGCCAAGGTCGATGGCGCGGCAGGCCCTGCCCCGTCAGCAGTCAGCGATTCCGGTCGCAGCCACGTCAGCCCTCTGCCGCGCCACCATGCATGGCGCGGCACAGGCATTTGGCCGCGCTAGGGCAATAGGCGCGGCCAAAAGTGTTAGTTAAAAAAAAACCCGATCGTGTTAGATTTAAAATTAGTTTCCAAAAAGTGTTAAAATTAAAAAAAATCTATTTTGGGATAGAAAGAGTAGTTTTAAAAAGGACCATCAGGGCACAAAAATGGAGGCTAGCACTTTTGATGGTTTCAATACAAATAAAGCGGTCCACGTAGACTAGTAAATATTAAGACTACTATTCACACAATGCAAACTATCACTACTTGTGGTTTCCAACAGGATCTTTTTCCTTTCATCATGCCTCATTTTTATTTCTCTCCCTCTTCTTTTTTACATGGACCTCCTTCTCTCCCTAAGCATATATAGCTTCTGCGCACTACTATGACAACTGCAAAGCATCTACTTTTTTTTATCTGATCCTACGTGGACCTTGGAGCTATCGGTAAAGCCACCTCGTTGGGGAAGGCTTGACCAGCGTAATTTGCCGGTCCAAGTTCGAGCTAGTACTTGTTTGTCTCTTTCCTTTCTCATCTTTATCCAACACTCCCCTCTATCGCCTACCACCACGGGCTTCCACCGCCTCTTGCTGCCTATCGGCTTTAGCGGTGCTCCACCACCTCCGTTGCCACCCTTGCCTGTCACAGACGCCATCATCTTCTCTGGCCGATACACTTGGCATTTAGCACCACCCAACCGGTTTTTCCCACCATCTCGCCCTACCTTTGTCTCGGCTAAGCCACCACCATCAGTCTGCACATCCCCTTCTAAGAGCATCTCCAAGATTTTCCAAAACTCACTTGATTTTTTGGAAGGATTGAAAAAAAAACTCTCCAACAACTCTTTATATCAACTCTAACCTTTTCGTGCTTGGAAAAACCGACTCACTTGCTCAGAAATATACGCGTGTATCCATATGGATGTGGATAAAGAGTAAACCAATACAAATAGTTTAGATTCATGATGCAAAATTGTCATATATTTTAGGATAGAGAATTTGAAAATTGTTGGAGGAGCCCAATAAATGTGCTCCTAGCTTTTTTAGCCACTTAAAAAACTCGTGAATTTACCAATTATTTTTCTTTAGAACTATTGGATATATACCCTGTTCTGCTCATCTACTTTTCAGCCGGCTTGTGCTTAATTATTCGGTTTATTCTCCCTCACAGAAATACTATTGAATCGGTCAAAATCAGCTGAAATACCACAACAGAACAGGACCATACTCCAAGCCCAGAAACTATGGAACTCCTCACCCAACCCCCAAACCTTAACACTGACAAACTTCACCGTCTCTGGTGGCAGCCAGTCAGTTTCTTCCTTTTGTTTTTCTTTCTTGTTTATCTGTGCACATAGCTAGTGGCTGCGTCTGGATCCAGAGTTAAAGTTTAGCTGTCACATCGGACGTTCGAATGCTAACTAGAGAAGTAAACATAAATTAATTATAAAACTAATTGCACAGGAGTAGACTAATTAACGAGACGAATCTATTAAGCCTAATTAATCCATAATTAGCAAATGTTACTTTGGCACCACATTGTCAAATCATGGACTAATTAGACTTAATAGATTAGTTTCGCAAATTAGCCTTAATCTGTGTAATTAGTTTTATAATTAATCTATGTTTAATACTCCTAATTGATACCAAAGATTTGATGTGACAGGGCTAAACTTTTGCCTCGTGAAATTAAGCATTCCCGTCAAAATAAAAAAGGTTAAAAATAAAAACAAATCCCATGAATAGACACGCTGAGACAAAACAGAGCCGGAAGAAAACCAGGGAAGTGCACACAATTCTCTGGTGATTTTTTATGTACGGACAACGAAAACTTTTGCATTTCATGGTGTGACATAGAAATCTCTACATGTGCCTGTTTAATTATTGATAACGATCTATTTGTTGATTACCTGCCCTACATGATGCGGAAGACATCATCACGAGGATTGCATGTTGTATGCGAGAGGCGCCTCGCTCTCGTTCGAGTGCACCGACGAGCCGTCGTCATTCTCCGGCGTGGCGTGGTCCTCCCCGAGCACCGTGGTGTCTCCAAAGCGCACCCGGCGCGCGGCGCTGCTGGCGGTCGGGGATCCCGACCCCGACCCCGAGGCGGGCGACCCGTTGGCGTGCCTCGTGCTGCGCGCGCTCTTGAGGCTCTTGGTGCTGGGCATGGGCGCCACGGCGGCGGCGCCCGCCCTCGACGACGACGACCGCCGCTCCACAATATTGGCCACCGCCGGAGCCGCCGCCGCCGTGTCCGACGAGCAGCAGAACCGGTACGCGCACGTGGCGATCCAGAACGCCCACGGGAGCGCGACGAGCGCGAGCCCGGTGGCCGGCAGCCACTGCGGCACCTCGGACGGCGGCAGCGTGACGTAGAGCCCCAGGCACCCGCCGCCGGCCAGCACGGCGAGGAGCAGAACCACCGCCACCACCCACACGCACGCGCTCCCCGCCGGCGGCCGCGCCTGATCCGGCTGCTGCCTCTGCGGCGGTCCCATCGATCCCGGCCTCTCGATCGGGACCGATCCGATAGAGACCGCTCAGTCAGATCACAGGGAATGCCAAGAACCTGATCATGAACTGCGCGCGACCAAGGACGCTGTTCATCCAAGATCAGATGATCTTTACAAAATCATCGATTAATCGATTTTGTGTCTCCTATTCTTTGGATGCCGATGACCGCAAAAAAGGCAAAAAGTTTTGATCTTTGTTGGTGTCGTTGTTTTTGTGAGCATGTCTGAGAGGAAGATGGAAATGTTCAACACAAGGGTAACTGAAAACTAGGGAGCGGCAGTAGAGGACACACCCTATAATAGCATAGCCGTGCATTTCATGCAATAAGATTTATTAATTTGCAAATAAGTACCTCCATTGCAACTATTGTCCAATAAGTACTTGATTTGAATTACAAATAACCACTAATGCTAGATTTACATTAATTTTTACAAATTGCGGTCTCACACTCCACGATCCACTCACACAAACTATAAAAACAATTAAAAAATAGTTGGTAGATAGATAACTTCAGTGCAGATGATTGTCCACAAGTACATCCACAGATGTAGCATGGCAGCCATGATCAACTCAGCCTAAGCAAGCTGTAAAGCTCCTTCATGTACACGCTCTCCTTGTCCTTCATCCTCCTCTTCTTGGAGAAGAGGACGCCATTATTGAGCGGAACAACCAGCGGCATGATCGGCTTCTGCTTCTGCACCTTCCTCCTCGCCGTCGCCGCCGCTGCCCGGCCGCCGCCGGACACCAGCACCGCCTCCCTGTCAGCCTCGCCGAGCCTCAGCAGGTGGCCCAACTGCGGCCTGCTGGGGGCGCAGCGCTCGGCCCAGATCGCCAGCGCCATGTCCCCGCCGCCGCGGCTGCCGCCTCTCTCGATGCTAGCGCGCGCCGCCGCCGCTTTGTCGGCCTCCATGTGCGACACCTTGGAGAGCGCGCGGTGGAGCTTCGCGTTCAGGGTCGCCATGGACAGCTCCATCTCGGCCAGCCTCCTCTTGAGCTGCGACACCTCTTGCCTCGTCCTGGCCGACTCGTCCTCCAGCTTCTTGATGGAGCTCATGACCATGAGCATGAGGTCGGCCGCCTTGCGCTCTTGCTCGACGTCCTCGTCGTCGTTGGCCAGCGAAGGCGACGACGCAAAGAACGGCGTCGAGGAGGGAACCAGGTACATTGGCACATCTTCTGCGACCGGCGGCCTTGGCACGGACACCGGCAGTAGGCTTGAAGCAGGCTTGCTGTTGCGACTACTCAACTCTTTCTTGGCATTGCAGGTGACAACACTTGGCTTGGAGTGGCTTTCCATGACGCCATCGTTCCGGTTAGGCGGCTTCACGTCAGAGGCGGCAATGGCGACAGCATTCACCCTGGAGTTCACCTCCTTGCCAACACGACGGACGCCATGTGCACCACCATTTGGCCTGAACTGGGCTTCCCCGACAAGGATGCGCTCCCCGAACACGGCGACCGCCTCCTTGACAGACCGGAAGGCACGGGAGGTGTCGACCTCTCCACGGTCCGACGACATGCCGCCGCTGCTGCCAAAGCTTGCAAGGATGGCTTCCCTGCGCCACGAGGGAGTGGGAGGCAAGAACAAGAGCTGCTGGATGGGGTTTTATTGTGGCTTTGCTTCGCTTCCACTACAATGGCGGATAGGATGACCTATGCCAGCAAGCAAGACACTGGACATGCCACCTAATAGGATCCTTCAAGTAGAGAAGATGAAGAGTCCAACGAGCTGAAATAGGAATGCTTTCTGCACAAAAAATAGAGGACGCTATCTTGAGCTGTCCCAGGAATGTACAACAGGTCAGGTTATCTGATACTCTACAGCCTTGACATCATGGGAGTGGTTGGGAGAAATCATGGTCCATCTCCTTCACATGTAAAACAAACAGATATGTGACCCGTTTTTACAGATCTCCCTGAAGATTTCATGTTGGCACCCTTGTAAGGGCATCAACCATATTTCTGTTTGACAGGCATGTGAAATCAACCACAGGGTGGTACAAGGTACATTTCATTCTTTGTATCTCAAGGTCACGGTACATTGATGTGCTCAACAAAATCGACTATCCATGAAAACTCTGGTAAATGATAGATATACCCATCCTCACACACCTATTTGAATTAACATGAAAGACAAAAAAGAATTTATTAAAAAACAAACCAATGATGATAAGGTAACCAACAGGGATAGTTACCTGATGCTGACATTGGTGACAGCTTAAATCAACTAATTCACATTACAAGAAGACATACTACACATCTACTGATGGGTGAGAAACACCCGATTGTGATTGCCTCAAGGAAAAACAATCACTTGCATATTTAGAACGTGAGATCCTTGGGATCCTCAATTATCTTGGCAAGTGTTTGCAGAAAAGCAGCAAGGTCAGCTCCATAAATAATCCGATGATCAGCAGTAACATTTACCTACATGTATCGATCAAGTGAGTGAAATTATCAAATCAAGTAAAAAGAAATTCATCAAACAAAAAATAGTTGGTGCGAAAGGACAAGTTCCACCAGACACAAGAAACTTACCTGCATTTGGTTCTTGATCCCAATTCTACCATCTTTTGTACCAACAATGGTCGGTTCTGATGCCCCAACGGCCATGATGGATCCCTTTTTTCAGTAACCCACATATTTCAGTAAGGTCCGCAGCATTGCATGAAAATAGAAATGGAGAATAAAATAAATTGTTCATCTTACAGTTCCAGGTGGCAGTATTGCATCAAACCTATCAACTCCAAACATACCAAGATTCGAAAGAGTAAACGTTCCTGCAGAATGAACATGAGTAGTTCTTAGCATACACAAATGACATGGTCACCATATCATACATGTTTGATGCGTGGCTAACACCAAGAGGCTGTCGAGGAACACAGGTGGACGCCCAATGGTGTTTTTTGTGTCAGAAATTACGCTTGCCATTTTTAGTTCATTTCTTCCCTAAATTAATTACATGGAATATTATTTCAGTTCATTTGTAGCAAGTTTTGGGTTGACACAATGAACCAATACAAATAGAACTTGCATCCCTACCCAGAGCACTAGAAATGTAATAAAAATAACAATAGATATTAGATAATATAGGAACCTAGTCAATCAGTCAAATTTTTAGCTATGAAACTGAGACAACAGAGGACTAAAATAAAACATCAATGCATGTTAAAGCAACAGCACATGAAAAGGTGAATCAAATGTATCATTCCTGATCCTTACTTCATGATTTTAATTTCAGAATTTCAAACATGGTATTTTTATAAGGAAAGTAAACAAATCCATGAAGCAATCTACCACCACCATTTGGATTAATATTATATTTTAAAAGCAGGGGAAAGAACATCAACTTATTCAAAAAGGACTGGTTAAGATCATCCCATTTGACAAAGCTGACAATCAAATGAATCCCATACATGATATCATTGGCATGCTGGATACTGGCCAGGGCTCGAGGAATTTCTTATCTTACTAGCAAACATGCCCGTGCGTTGCAACGGGTGAAAAATCAGACCATACTCAAGTATAATAAACATGGCATAAATTTTAACTTTTTAGGAGATTATATGCATCATGGTTAGGTAATATACTTGTTTGCAAATATTTAAAATACATCCCTCTACCTTCATCCAGCATGTGTTAAGTTTTTTGAAAACCGTCGTTTTTGGCCTTAGCGCTCAGGTAAACGCATACGTGTAGACGATAGATGGACGGTTAGTAGATTCATGTACGTACATTACCGCGTGGCCGCAGCACATGTCCTCTCCATATCAGACACGGACACGGCTGGGCTCTCAGGGCCTCATATGGTAATCCGGTCTCCGTATATGGCATGCATACTTATTTGTACTTTAAATTATTATTTTCTCATAATATAAAAGTTTGATTAGGATTCGTAGCTATTTGATTAGGCCGGATTCCTATTCAAATTACTCAGGATCGCAGCCTCCCAGGATATATTTGGATTATGATTCCTGGCTATCTAGCTTACCTCAAGAAGCCCGACATATGTCGTATATAACAAGAGGGTTGTAGCCTATAGACAGTCGAATAGAGACAATTTTCACATTCACCAAGTTAGTTAGGGGAGAGCCGGACCAAAAAATGGGGGAGAGAAATTTTGCCTCTTTAATATTAGGTATAGATTGCCTTTACGCTAGAAAGAAGTTAAGAGTTCTAGTTCGAGGTTGGTTTTATTTCTGTATAATTAAGAGCGCACTGGTTTTCTAAGTTTTGGCTTTTCCGTGAGTGAGGTTCGTGTTGTATGTGTTTCAAACCCCTTTTTCTTCTTAATTATATAATGATATGCTGCTCTCCTCGGTGGTCAAGAAAAAAATGGCATGCTGGATATTCCATTTACTCTAAAGGGTGTACGGAAGAGGGAGCATTTGCAAAGAAACTAAGAGGAAGCATTATACTTTACAAAAGTATCAGCAAACAATATAGTGCATAGCACTTTATTTATTTCATGGAAAGAGTAAATTCTGCTAAATACGACAACCATATATATCTAATTTCTGAAAGTAAATCGTGGCATTGTTTGTAAACCTCTTTCCAGTGAAAATACAACAACACACTACAGCAAAGACACAAGGATTTTCAGGTGAAACTCTGGGGCAAGGTATAGGAATTTTAAATTAGAAACAAAACAAGGAAATACAGTTACGCTTATCTATATGACATAAAGCTTAAATGCTCCAAAAAACTTAGTGAATTTGTTAAAGCCGACATAAATCATTCCAGTGTTTTTGTGGTCTACCCTCCATCTTCATATTAACAACTATATATCTACTCCAGAAAGTTTTGGTCTGCTGTGAGGAGGCTCACTCCAAGTCAGAAACATTAGATAAAAGAAAATTTGAAGAAATCATAGCTAATTATCAGTCCATTACCTTAGATGCATAAAGCCAAAAAAATAGTACTATAATGCATGTTGCTGGGCCATTTCAAAATCTTGTGTAAACTAACAATTAACTTGATGCTATCTTAGTTTTCTTAACCTTACAAGTGAGATGAGATATCTCAGTGCATAACCTTGACAAAAGATACTTCTAGTATTGAGCATGAGTTGACAGCAGCATATTACTATAATACTCATAGAACTGAAGTTAACTGATTATTATTTGGCCAAACTCCTAGATTATATTATCAGAAGTCCATATCCAAGAAACGCACAGAAGTCACAGCTAGGAGAAACACTTCTGGCCTACTGACTTAACAAAATTGTGATTGAATTAGGAGAATGGAAATTGGTTAGACTAGAAGCATAAAGAAAACTTGAACATTGCTAATTAATTATCCAAAATTAGACCTTCATAATGGATATCATAGTATTTACATGATACGGAAATTATGATTAATAAAGAGCACAATCCTTAACATTAATACCAATCACCATGTTCTATAACCTATATGTTTACCAGGTACAAAATATTGTCAAAGTAAAACGCTTAATGACAACATGCATATAGACATATATTCAGGTAGTCATAAGCAATTTGTAGCAGTCCATTCCTTTCCTATCCACATGAAGAGAATTGCACTTGTATCAAGTAATGAACAGGAAGCATCAGAGCTGTATTAGGCAATCATTTGCTGTGATATAAAATAGTCCAAGACAGCTCCAAATCTCCAATTTGTAGCAAGGTGTAGCAGAGCAATGTAGGTGATGGTATCAGATACATATTCAAAGTTTATATAGGGAAAAGCTTAAGAATCAGGGCGACCTACTACAGAGGGGGCTACACCTTTTCTATACATGACTGAAGTTACACTGAATGAAACTATATTTAGTGTTAATACAGATAATGAAGGATTCATATGTATCCTGGTAATTGTACAGTTTTAAGGGCATCATAGATGATACGAGTCACAAAGCATACGAACACAGGGGATTGCACCTTTTTTGACCTTATTATAGCAAATATAGCTAGGTCAAACAGCATCACAAGAATATCTAGCATCCACCACATTCTTTTATTCAGCCACCATAAAAAGTTAATCTCTATAAGTATACTATCTTATTTAGGACATTAGAAAAGATACACAACAATGTGCTACATATTGAGATTTGTGTGCGAGGCAAAGAAATACCAGAGTTGTACTCATGGGGCTGCAACTGCTTTGCCCGTGCCTTATCAACCAAGTCCTTCCATTTCCTTGACAATGAATAAATGTCAAGCTGCAAAAAAACAGTAAGTAACCATTTATTTAAACAAATCATCAAAAACATCAACATTCATTGTGCATGGTAAAGTGTTTGACCTTATCAGCATCTTGAAGAACCGGCGTAATCAACCCACCATCTATGGCCACTGCCACAGCAATGTTGATACTACTGCTGTATGTGAAGCTCTTCCCATCCCTGCAGCTGGAGTTCACCACAGGATGCTGAACCAGAGCCATTGCCGTCGCCTTAGCCAACAGTGCTGACATTGTAACCCCCTTTGACTTAATCTTTTAAAAAGAGAGAGAGAAAAGCTTACCCCTTCATCCAATCATCAAATCCATATGACAATGGTCCTAAACATTGTGAAAAGATGCTCACTTTTTTGTAGAGCTGATCAAGAGCATCAGTCGTGATGGTGTACCCGACCCTGAATGTCGGGACGGCAAGGCTCTCCACCATGTTCTTGCTGACAGCACCCTGCATTGTCGTGAATGGTACCGTCGACCCCAACGGCACATCCGGCCGTGCAGCAGTCACTGGTGCGGCCTTCTTGGGCGCAGCCGCAGCCTCGACATCCTTGGCCACAATTCGCCCGCCGGGGCCTGACCCCGTGACCGAGAAAAGATCAACGCCGAGGTCCTTGGCGAGCTTCTTGGCGTAGGGCGAAGCAACCACGCGCCCCCCGCCTCGTGTTGCTGGCGAAGGCGGCGCGGGAGCAGAGACTGCCACCGGCGCCGGGGGAGGAGGTGGCGGCGGCGTAAGGGACGCTTCTTCAGCAGCAGTTTCTTGCGGAGGCGGCGGCGAGGGGGAGCTGGAGGAGAAGGAGGCGGCCTGCGACTGGGCGACCGGGATCTCCTCCTCGGACTCGGCGAGGAGCGCGATGGCGGAGCCGACGGGCGCGGACTCGCCAGCGGGCACGAGGACGGCGGCGAGGAAGCCGTCGTGGAAGGTCTCGACGTCCATGTCGGCCTTGTCGGACTCGACGACGACGACGGGGTCGCCCTTGGCGAGGCGGTCGCCCTCGGCGGCGGTCCAGGAGACGATCTTGCCCTCGGTCATGGTGGAGCTGAGCGCCGGCATGAAGATCTCCCGGATCTTGGCCTCGACACGGCACCGGCGGCGGGACGAGGACGGCGCCGGCGCGCCCGCACGGCGGCGGAGCGCGGACGCCGAGGGGAGAAGCGTGGACTGGAGCTGGAGGTGGAGGTGGAGGAGGCCGGCCATTGCGGGGTGGTGGGGGAGGGGAGAGGGAGGGAAAGGGAGCGTGGCGGGGAGGATTTGAGACGAGTCTGATGAGATGGTGGTGGCTTGGCTACTCCTCCCTCGCTGCTGCTGTTGTTGCAGCTGGCGGGCGCTGCTGCCTTGGGAGTATCGGAGGCGCGGCGGATTTGCCGAGGACGACGAGGGGTGGAAAGGTTTGGGCTCGTCGCTCGGTCGCTCCTGCTGCTTTGGGGATTGCTCCAACAAGCCCAACGTTTGCGCCAATATTCCCCCCACACCCCCCCTTTTTTCCCTGAGGTACATATATTATTTTCATTTCAAAAACAAACATTTTAATTTTCTTAAAAAAGATATCAATACAGTATTTGGGGTTTCTTATAGCTTATTATGCAGGAAAGATGCAAAGGGACTATATGTTTTATATTTGTAGGAAATTCTTTATTTGAAATCATTTGATTTTTTAACCAATGGATTACAATGCAACCATCTGAGTTCAGTAATTCTCCAGGTTCTTATGGCAAAAGAAAGCGGATGAAATGAAAAAAAAAATGAGCGATTATCTTGAGCATCTTATTCTCTATATGGAATATAAGTTTTCTCGAAATTTTCCTTAGACTAAAGCATTACAAATGTAACCATTTTTCTTAAAAATGGATACACCTCGTATATCAGTAATTATGTGACAAATAAACCTTTAAATAAGCAAAACAAAATGGAAATGTTGAGATATGCACATTATTATAAATTAATGCAAATTGAAGCACAAGAACAAAATAGTTTGACAAAAAAATGGGTTCCAACCTGAGAGGAACTAGGATGGTTTTCATTAGGAAGAAAATATGCACTCAACTTTGAGTTGAAGATGACTCAACCTGAGAGGAACTAGGATGCATGAGGAAATCAATATAAAATTTTCTTACGCAATGAAGATTAAATGTCGCACAATTTTCTCACACTAGACAGTAGCATTAGCATATGATTTACTGTCCGTTTTTCAGGACGAGTTCTGCTCTTTTAGTTAAACTACCTATGATTAATGCAAAAGATTGGTTGAACTAGTCTACGTTGCAAAACGATGGATGATCTCTTATGAAAACACATACCCATTACCTTTAAGCTTCGCTTATAACCATCTCTGCACGTTACAGCATAGAAACCATATCGCCACTCACTGCAAAGCAGATACCTATAATTACCTAATTCATCAAACATATAATGATCTACCATAAGCTAGAGTTCTATCTTCTATAGAACTATACAAGGGCAGCCCGTATACTGATTACTGACATCCATAAACTAAACCAAGCTGAAAGCCAGAAACTCCACCCAAAACTTATCTATGATATGATTACAGGCTGCTGCTGATTCACTTTGCATTGAAGAGCATCCTTAAGACGTTGCGCATCTTTGGCCGAGCGTCTGGAGAGAATGCAACACAAGAGAGAGCAATGTTCAGGACCGACAGCATCTGGCTATGAACAGCAATTGAGGTCCCTGAGACCCTGGTGTCAAGGATTTGCTCCCTTTGATCAGGCCTGCCAGAAAGACTGAGTGCCCACTTGGCTAATTCAGTGCCATCACTGACCGATGGTTTTCCTGTCAGCAGCTCCAGTAAAATGATTCCAAAGCTATAGACGTTGCCAGCCATCGTCAGCCTCATAGTGTAGGCATACTCTGCAACATGATTCAGTGAGTGTTAGCATAGTGTATTGGCAATCACAGTTTTTCAAAATTGTTAAACAAAATTATTCAAGCTTATACAGAAAAAAAAAATCCTAGAATCTTCTTCCATTCCATAGCTGATCAGAGCCCTTATCCTTAATAATCTTGACCAGAAGTAGAAAGACATTCTTTTTTTAATGTAAAAAGACATTCTATTTAGGAATGATGTCTGACTAGATTAAAAGAAGAAACTACGTGTTGTATAAACTTCAAAAAGTAACAGCTTGGAGGGTATTCTGGGCTAACTGAAGTGTAAAGATGCCACTCAAACAGAAACTTTGGATCACTTTGCCACAAATTGGATTGTTTTGCCACAATTACCAGATATGTAACAATTAGAAAATTGTTCTTGAGGCACAGGAACAATATATGCCCAAACAGATACAGTCAGACAAGATTACTGCAGTGCAGTAAACTAAAGAGTAACAAAAAAATACATCAAGTTTAGCAATACTCGAAGCCTGAGATAAAACAATATGATATCAAGAAAGAATGACACAAAACTACTCAATTATCACCAGTTATAGTTTAAAGTTAACATTCAGGTACTCAGTGAAACACAATAGTATATCTTACCTGGTGGAATATAACCAACTGTACCAGCAATGGTTGAAAAGCTTCCAGTACTCCTGGAAGGGTCAATAATCTTGTAAAGCTCGATATCTCCAATCTGAGGCTCATTTGTTGACTTCAAGTGGATGGTCCTTGTTGACAAGTCAAGAAGCAAAACTGGCTGAGTGCACCCATGAAGAAATGTCAGCCCTTGGGCCACCCCCAAAGCAATGCTATATCGTGAAGGCCAGTCTATAACTTCTGATTTTCCACCATGTAGCAAATCAGACACTGTGCCATTGTGTGCATGCTCATAGATTAGGTAGGCACAATCTGTAGTCAAGATGTAGGCCAATGGAACCATGACATTGGAATTGGTCAATTTCCCTAGAACCTCAATTTCACGAGAAAACTTCTCCTGGCTCCCAATTTGGAAAATCTTGTCACTAGAGTTAAGCTTTTTTACAGAGTATGTTGAGCCATTAGGCATTACAGCCTTGTAGTAGGTGCAGAACCTGGTCTTCAAAAAGATGTTCTGGTGGTTGGAGACTGCTTCCATTGCTTTCATGAAGTCAACTGCAGAGGTGTGGATGCTGTTCAAAGTTATGAGGCGGCCATTGATTATTTGCGGTACAGATTCTCCAGCTGGTAATCCTTCATCTTCAACACGATAAATTCTCTTTGATAATGACATCACAATAATAACAGCAAGCACACATAATCCAACAAGAGCACCGGCAATAGTGAAAATGATGATAACAAAATTGTGCCTCTTTTTCTTACCAGTAGTAGGAGTGTCATTATTGTTTCCTGTACCATTTACAAGATCAGGATTCCCGACAATATCAATGTCCACATTTTGATTTTGGCGGAATTTAGGAACAGATCCAGAAAGATCATTATAAGAAAGCTCCAGCAGTGTCAGGCTTTGCAGGGTCCCTAGTGAAGATGGGACATCACCAGACAGGTTGTTGTGTGAAAGATCAAGAATCTCTAATTCACTTAAAGAGTTGATGTTTGAAGGAATAGGCCCGTTAAGATGGTTATGACTAAGATTAAGAAGAGATGTAGTCACACTGGTTGGCATGGTTGGAATGGTACCAGTCAGAGCATTATCTCCCAGATTGAGCTCGATTAGATACTTCGATGAACTGATTGAGATCGGAATATGCCCACTGATATTGTTGCCCTGCAAATACAAGTTTGAAAGCTTTGGCAGCTCGAAAATTCCGCTTGGTATCCCTCCACTGAGTGAATTCTGACTAAGATTCAATGTGCTCAGGATTTTCAAATCGGAAAATGTACTTGGAATAGGTCCGATGAGGCTGTTATTTTGAAGCTTCAGAACTACCAGTTTGTCAAGTTCACCGATAGGAGAGGGCACTGAACCCTGCAAACGATTTGATGCTAAATTCAACAGTGACAAGCTCTTGCATTTGCCAAGCTCTGAAGGTATATTTCCTGTCAACTGATTACCATCCAACTCAAGATAAGTCATGCCCATTGTATCACAAATTGACTCAGGGATGTTCTCACCAAGCTTGTTTCCACCAAGCCTCAAGCGGTAGAGGCTTTGCGATAAATTGCGGGGAATAGCCCCATTAAGCATGTTGTTGGTAAGATCAACAGTCTGCAACCATTGATGCGAGAGGAAATCAACGGGGATCGTGCCATTCAGATTGTTGTAACTCAGATCCAACATCCTTACATGCTTGGTAATCCAGCTGGCGATTGGACCAGTAAAATTATTCTGGTTGGCTGCAAACCTAGCCAGCGTTGTCACATTTGAGAGGCTCGCTGGTATTTCCCCAATCAGTTTATTGCCTGAAAGAAGCAAAGTCTCGAGCTTGGGGAGACTCATGAACTTATCTGGGACAACACCAGTCAGAGCATTCTGGCTGAGATCTAGGAGAGTGAGATTTTCATATCTAAACAAACCCAGAGGAATTGAACCACTCAGTTGATTACCAGACAATACCAACTCCAGCAAAGGGCCGACCATACTGGTAGGAACCTCACCATACAAGTTATTGGTACTAGCGTTGAAGCTCCTTAATTTGGGAAAATCACCCAAGTCTGCACTCAGATTTCTGCTGGCAAAGGAATTGAAGGACAAGTCAAGAACTTCCAGCTGGGGGAAGTGGGATAAATCACTGAGCGAATTAGCCAATTGATTGGTGCTCAGATTAAGTGACTGCAACCCTTCTTTCATGGAGCAAGAAGAATTGGCGAAGAACTGGGCGGACAAATTTGTGAACGAATTTCGGGAGAGGTCAAGGGACTGCAAGGTGTCAAGCCGGCAAAGGTGGGCAAAGATGGAGGAGTCGGATAAGCCATAGTTGGTCAAGGCGATGCTAGTGACGACCGAGGAAGAACTGGAATTTATGCAACTGGTTCCTTTCCAGTTGCATGGATTCTCTGCAGTGTTCCACCTGGTGTTGGCGGATTCAGAGTTAACCAGACTCGCAATATCATTCATGATGGACTTTTGCGTGTCGTTCAGTGGAGGCGATTGCGGGGTGGTGGTGGTGGTGGCGGCGGTGGCCGATGGCACATCAAGAAAGGAGAAGACGAACAAGAACGGCAGCAGCAGCCGTAGGAGGAAGAAGCCATCGCTGGCACAGGGACCATACCTCCTCTCCACCATGGCCATCCCCCCAGTTGTTGGCCTCCCGCTTGATTAACCGCCTCGCCTCTTTCCCTCCTCCTCAATCCCAGCTGACCTCCAC